TTGTCATCACCATCATCATCACCAGCAGCAGCATCGGATAGCTTGGGCTGAGGTTGCCCTGAGCGTGGCACTTGGGGGTTTTTGGCTTGGGACTCACGGTTCGGCGGATTGAGATTGCAGGCGCAGGCTTTGCGAGCAAGAAGGCCTGGTGAAGTTTGCCTTCTCGTTGTGTTTGGTGGACGCACGGTGTTAGGCTTTAGTCTGCGTCTTCGGGATTTCATCCTGCATTCCTCGGCGAATTCTCCACCGGCCCTCACGACCGCCCAAACCACCCGTGCGCCCGACCCCTCGCCTCAGCTTGAGGTGCATGAAGGCAGCAAGCTGCCACCAGAAGACGACGACGTGCAACAGCGTGCTCAACCTAAGGCAGTTGCCAAAGCTCATTCCTCATGTGGATTGCATCGGCGGTGCGAAAGCCCTCCTTTTTTCTGTCTGGCGCATCAATCGTCCCAGCCGCAGTCCTGGGCACAGGAGGAAAGGAATCTAACTTCGAACTCCTCATTCTCTGTTGGAGTGCAGGTCTCCGCCTTCGGGGAACAAGAAAACGTAAGTTCAGTTTGCAGTGCCAGCAGAAGCTCTAGACGACATCAGCGGCATCTCTGCATCGTTAGGACCCGTCAAGCAGGGCTCAAGCTGGCTCTTGCCATGAGCCAAGATGTCGTATCTCTTAGGTTTAGGGTTTAGGGTTTAGGGTTTTAGGGTTTAGGGTTTAGGGTTTAGGGTTTAGGGTTTGGGGTTTAGGGTTTGGGGTTTAGGGTTTAGGGTTTCGGGTTTTCGGGTTGAGGCCAACCCCAAGCCGTAAACTCGACCATGTTCTCTTTCTCTGCTGCAAGAAAGAAAGACATGTCCCTGAAAAGCAAAACCCAAAACCTAAACTAGACCCCAAACTCCAACCCTGCACCCTAAGCCCTAAACCCGAAACCCGAAACCCTAAACCCTAAACCCTACAATTTCAGGAATCCCCCCAATAAGCCGACCCAGTTTCGTTGGCGCCGAAGGTCTGCGAGGCGTCGGAGGAGCTGGGCGAAGGAAGCGCCAGGAGCCGCTTTAAGCAGCCATGGATCTCCTCCTGAGATTCTCACGCTTTGGGGGTTTAGGGTTTAGGGTTTGGGGGTTTAAGGGTTTAGGGGTTAGGGGTTTGGGGTTTAAGAATTTAGGGTTTAGGGGTTAGGGGTTTAAGGGTTTAAGGGTTTAGGGTTTAGGGTTTAGGGGTTTAAGAATTTAGGGTTTAGGGGTTTAGGGGTTTAAGGGTTTAAGGGTTAATAGGGTTTAGGGGTTTAGGGGTTTAAGGGTTTAGGATGTAAGGTTCCTCGTTTAGGGTTCAAGGCTCAGGGTTTGTAGTTACCATGGATCTCCTTGGTAGTTGGAGGAGGAGGAGCAGGAGGAGGGAGCCGGAGGAGGAGGATAAGGACTAGGACTCGGATGAGGATTGGGATTAGGCTTGGCGTGTCTGTATCAGTATCACTATTGGTCGTCGTAGTTCGAGTTTCCGAGGAATCATACGGTTTCTGTTTCGGGTTGAGGGCTTTGCAGCAGGGTTTGTGGGCTTCCTGGATACGGTTTTGGGTTGAGGGCTCCGGGCTTATGGATGTCCTTTTTGGGTTTGGGCTATTGGTGGCTGCTTTGCCTCTTTTGGGGGGTGAGGGCTGTTAGGGTTTCGGGCTGTGGAGTTAGTCGATGTTAGGGCTTTGTAAGCGGTTTCGGATTGTGGGGCAATAAGGAGGGCTCTTTAGAGTTCACTATAGGCGTAAGTTCTAGGGATGTTAAGAGCGGAGGGATTGGGAGAGTTGGGTGTGGTGGTTTTTGGGTCTTCAGGGGGGGGTGGTTACGTGCAGGCTTTAGGGTAGGATGGGCCCATGTTGCAAGCCCAGTCCGAAGACTCTCAGCTGCCATGAAGCACCGAACTGGGATTTGCTGGGGGTTTAGGGTTTTTTTTTTTAAAGTGTATTGGCCCTTTCGCACTGCCGAAGCTGGGTTTAGGGTTTAGGGTTTAGGGTTTGAAGCCCAACTGGTAAACATCCTCAGGGAGACGCACCAAGAACGGCCCTTGAACACTTCGAGCCATGCCACGACCGTCTGTCGTCTGAGGAGGACATGGCTATCGTCACCTGAGATGTACTGCAGTCCCAGGTAACACAAACACCCCCCACCTCGGATATCGAAGCCTGAACACTTACAAATACTGTTCCTTAGGGCTCCTTATTTTTTACTTATAGTATAAGAAGCCCTAAAACCGTGATCGAAATATTAACCTCCGCCAAACCACGAAGCTCTGAAGCACAAAAACCCTGAACCAACAACTTCCCCTCACCAAGACCCCAAGACCCAGCCCCCGAAACTGCAGACCCTGAACCCTGAGGCTTAGCGCCCAAATCAAAAGAGCGATGTCTAATATGGGGGCCTTAATGATTAGAATAGGGTTTGGGATCTATTATGCTATAATTACAATAAAAAGCCCCCCAAAACCCTGTTCTGGTTATCAAGACCCCTATATCAGCAATACTAGTAATAACTACAATTTACGATAATAAGGAACCCCCAAAACCCTATTCTAATTATTAAGGCCCCTATAGTAGCCTTGTGGCAGACATGCATCTCACAGCCCGCAGCACTGAGCGCCGCCACCTGTGAGGCCGGGCAGAAGCCGTCCTGGCAGTTTAAGCTTGGTGGGTTTAGGGTGTAGGGTTTAGGGTTTAGGGTTTAGAGTTTAGGGTTTGGGGTTTAGGGTTTAGGGAAGAAGGTTTGGGGTTTAGGGTTTAGGGTTTAGGGTTCAGGGTTTCGAGTTTAGGGTTTAGGGTTTAGAAGCCGTTCAGATTTTGGGCTCGGGGGCTTGAGCCCGGCGTACCGAAGACCTTCAGTGCAAGACCCTAATCGAGGGGCCTGAATAAGTACCTATACTATTTTGGAGGGTTCATTACTAGAATTGTAGTATAATGGGCCCCAAAACCCTATTCTAATTGTTAAGGCCCCTACATTAACACCACATGAACGTACGTTGCAGGACATGGGACATACATACACAACTTGACAACTCTCGGCCGCGTCTTGGAATAGGCACGTATTGAAGATAGTAGGTGCGGCGGATGCCCATCTGTTTCGTGTGCCACGACGACTGAAGTACCTGAAACCTGGACCCTTAAGAAGCCCGAGGCATCCCAATGCCTTCATAGAAGGGCCTTAATGATTAGAATAGGGTTTCGGGGCCCATTGTACTATAATTACAAGAAGGAACCCCCAAAATAGTATTGGTAATTATTTAGGCCCCAACATAAAACCCCAATGCATCCCGACACAGATCACTCCCTCAGCCCTACACTCTACAAAGAGCCAGCCTGAACCACTGCAAAGGTTTGAATAAACCCAGATCGGCAAACCCCAAAAGCACGGCCCAGTCATTCTCGGCGTGGAAGACATGGGTCGGGCGCGAAGGGCTCGGAGTTGGAAGCCTGGCGAACGGGTCCAAAAACGAAGAGCGACTCCAAGTATTCCGCAGTGCAGTACCACTCCATGTGCAGCTTGAGCTGTATCTGACACTTTAGATCCAAACAGTGACTCAAGGGTGCAATGAGGCTCCATGAGGCCTACAAACGAGACCGAGTCCGAGCTGGACGGCTCAGAAGATCTCAAACATACTTTGCTTTGCACCCTCGGTTTGCGGTAGCGTATGGGTTGAGATTTAAGGGCTTCAAGCGTAGGACTTAGCCATCCGGTAAAAACCTTGAAGCCCCACCTGGGCGCTGAGCAGCAGCTGACCTGGGCAGGCAAGCTTTTGGTGTTGAGTGCTCAGCTGCTCGTCAGAAGCTTGGACGTAAAACCGTGGGCCTGAGTCGGTAGGAGGTTGGAATGGCTCACTCTGCTAAGCGTGCGAGAGGAGTGGAGCATCACATAACGTCCGTATGGTAACGCTGATACCAACCCTCATGGTAACGCTCATAGTAAGGTTCCTAATTACTTGAGTTCTTCTGGGAAGCCACGATTTATAGGGTGCAGGGCTTCATACCCTACAAGGGTTTTGTAAGGCTTCTTACAGGGTTCTATGAGGGGTCTGCAGCATAAGGGGTTTAAGGTCCTACGGCTTCGCGGACGGTGTGGAAAGTACTACTCTCCCAGCATGACGCGGGGGTAGAAAGAAACATGTCAGCACGTTTTGGAAGGGCGTTTCAACAGCTGACATCCCAATTTCAGACACTCACATTTCCGCTGATGGGGCAATTGAGAGCTACTGCTGCTACAGACACCAACCATGCCACCACGACTCTCTCCTCTATTGCTCCTGCTTAAGTTGTACTCCTGCCGATGTCTCTTTTGCTCTTTTTCTTCTTGTTGATGTGCTGCTGAGCTGCCCAAGACATGGCATTCACCGTGGGAGCCAACAGCAGCGTCGGGCCCTGCGGTGTAGGGAGCTTTGGAAATGCCGCGTTCAAAACCGTTTGTCAACTCACTTGTCGCGGGGTGGGTGAAACTTTGCTTGACTTCCTAACACTCTAGGGTCCACTTCAGAGCCGAGAACCCGGCTACCGGAAGCCGGGAATTAGGCCCGGAGCGGGTTTCATGTGGCGCCATGCTTGATTTCAGGAGCACTCATCCCGTGCCTCCCCAGGCGGCCTGAATCCCTGAAACCCTCAACACAGAAGCTCTAGCCTTCCCCATAAGCTCCGAGACACCCTGAACCGCATAGTCGTGCCCTCATACCCCCAAGACCCCTGGACCACCTTTAGAGCAACCGGCTCTATACATGTAAGAAGGCCCACTGCAAGGTTCATTGAACGGGTTCTATTCCGAAAATAGGGGACCCTAATATAGTACCCTAAATAATAGGATCCCTATTACAAGGACCCCCAAATAAGGTACCCTAATTTTCATTGTTTGAAAAGAGCCCGAAGCCCGAAACCCTCCGGCAGGGACCTTCCAGCGGCCCTGGGAGAGAAGCCAAAGTGCCTCGAGCTCCGCTTCGCCGGGGAACGCCAAAACGAGGTCAGCAACCCTGAACCCTAAACCCTGAACCCTAAACCCTAAACCCTAAACCCTAAGCCCTAAACCCTGAACCCTGAACCCTAAACCCCGAAACCCGAAGCCCGGAAGCCGAAGCCCTAAAACCTGGCCGGGAAGCCGAAGCCCTAAAGCCTGGCCCGGAAGCCTAGGACCTACGAAGCCCCACTCTGAGCTCTGAACCCCGATTTGCTGAGGCTGGCACCACGCCACCCCCCCAGGAGAAGCCCAAGAGGACCTCAGCTGTTTTGGCTTCAGGGTTTAGGGCTTTACGGTTTAGGGCATTTTGGGTTTTAAGCCTTCGGATTTAGATTTAGGGCTTTAGGGTTTAAGCCTTCGGGTCTGGGTTTGGGTTGAGGGTTTCGGGCTGAGGGCTTGGGGTGTCGAGCTTGGGACTTTGCGCTCTCCTTCGCCCGGGCGCGTCGGGCTGGAAGTCTCGAATGGCCCGGCTCGTGGTCCAGAGGCCGTCCTTGATGGCGAACCAGACCAGGCCAGCCACCACAAGTCGCAGCAGCACCGGGATAGCCAGAAGCAAGGCCTGAAAGAGGCTTCCTACAGCAAGGATGGAAGGGCTGGGCATTGAAATTTGTCAGTGTTGCTGGGGGCACGGCCAAGCGAACTAGCCAGGCAAAGGACTCGTCGACCTGCGCCACCAACTTGTCGTTGGATGCAGCTTCTGGTGTTAGCCAGAATATCACCTCGGCACAGACATGGCGCTCGGCCAAGCTTCAGCATAAAGCCCACCAACTGTCACAAGGCAAGGAATGCCAAAACTTCCGAAGAAACATCTCGCACATGCAGGCTTAAATGTCAGCTCCATGCCAAGTGAGATTGGTGCACTCAAGATCAGCCTTGCTGGCGAAGGCGCGACGAGGAGCAGCAGGCAGAATGGATTCAGACACCATCTACCTTGGAACAACTACCGCTCGCAACCCCTTGTCAAGCGACTGCACGGTGATGGGCAACACGACTACGTGGATTCTTCCCGGCTGATTTGGGAGTTGACTAACCGGATTCTGCTTGTAGCGACCCTTAAACAATTCATGTGACCAACATAAGCCATAAGCATACTAGGTTGGACCCCAATTAGAGCCCTGTTCTAACTAGCAAGACCTCTCTATTGGACACTGAATCCTCGACCTCGAAGTCCAGATCCCAAAACTCAGAGAAGCCGTGGCCCCACTGCTACGGATATTTGAGCAGAGGGCGACTTCTCCTTCCCCAGAGCCCGCCTCTTGAAGCCCTGAAGTCAACAACGGTGGTGACAAGAGTTGAGTAGGGTTCCTGATGGGATACCCTCCACAGCCAGAGTAGCTCAGAATTCGCTTTCGAGAGCCATACACCCCGAGCCCAGAAGCTCCATTTCGATCTGACACCGACCCCGCCACGTCAGCAAAGCCGCAGCCCGAGGGAGGCATGGGAATGGTGGGCTCCAGAAACCTTAGCTTAGGCTTTAGGGTTTAGGATTTAGGCTTTCGGATTTAGGGTTTAGGGTTTAGGATTTAGGGTTTAGGATTTAGGGTTTAGGATTTAGGGTTTAGGGTTTAGGGTTTAGGGTTTAGGGTTCAGAAACTGATAGCCTTCAGGGCTGCACGCTGGAGTTTCACTCCTGGTCCTTCCTTCGTGCTTCAGCTGGTGGCTTGGGCCTCCCACAACTATGCCTGGTGTCTTGCAAGCTGAGAACTTCGGTAAACTGGTATGACGGTCATCATCATCACCCTTCTCTTCCTCCTCCTCTTCTTCTTCTGTTTCCCTGAACCGTCTCTGCCTTAGGGGCTGAGTACCCTAGCCCAAAAAAAGGTTAACTTTTTTGAATGATAGTAGGAGTATAAGAAAGCCCCAAAAGGTTAAAGGTTACCTACTCAGCCACTAAGCTTACCTTTCGTTAATAGGGAATGGAGGAATGGGGTACAATTATAACTACTATTACTACCATTCTTCCATTCCCTACTAACCAAAGGTTACTAAGCTGCCCAGAAACTCCACGTCCGGCATGCGGTTGCGCAGGACGTCCAGAGGGCCAGGGCTCCACCCGCTGAGGACCTGCTCGAGTCCAGGCGCGAAGCTCGCATTGCTTGAGCCATCTCTGAACCAGTGAGGTCCGACAAGCCCTGCACTTTAATCATTTCACCAGCCTTCAAGCCGCCAAAAGTCTAAACACTCCGAAACCCTGCGAGAACGATTGGCTCCAAAGCGCCCTGAGCTTCCGGCCAAGACCCTCCGCCGCCGGCCGTCCGCCATGGCCGAGCACGGGTGCGTGAGCGGGGGACAGTAGAACCCTGGCTTAGGGTTTAGGGTTTAGGGGTTTAGGGGTTTAGGGGTTTAGGGGTTTAGGGGTTTAGGGTTTAGGGTTTAGGGTTTCGGGTTTAGGGCAGGGGTGGGGGTTTAGTTCACAAGTCCCTGCTTGTTGGTTTGCGGTGGCTCGGAGATGCTTGGACTGGGTCTGTCCGCCTGAGGGCCAGGAGTTGCAGCTGAAATGCAAAGGCACCGCTAAGTCTTAGGGTGAGGATGCTGGAGACATGGGAAAGGGGTTTAGGGTTTAGGGTTTAGGGTTTAGGGTCAAGCATGGCGGAGTGGTATGAGCTGCAGTCCGGCTGGCCGGCGGCGAAAATCTCACTGAAACTGCAAAGACTGTAAGGGTTGTCAGCATAAGGCCCGCACTGCACCAAGTAGTCCTCGGCTGCGACAAAAAAGGTGCTAGCAGTGCTCTCCAACAGACTATAATATAGAGCATGTACAGATATATATTTCTATACATGCATATATATATATATATATGTATGTATGTATGTATGTATGTATGTATGTATGTATGTATGTAAGTGCGTATGTATGTATGCACGTACGTATGTATGTATGTATGTATGTATGTATGTATGTATGTATGTATGTATGTATGTATGTATGTATGTATGTGTGCTTGTGTGTGGGTGTGCTGTCTGTCTGTGTCTGTCTGTCTGTCTGTCTGTCT